CTAGCATCAGGAGTTTATCAAGTAATATGTGGTGGTCCACCAGATCAAAGGCTTTGCGGAAATCTAGTAAAGCAGTTCTTACAGTTGATCCAGTGCCGTCAGTAGCATGTAGCCAATGATGGAACATAGAAATAAGAGCAAAAGTAGTGCAAGATCCAGGGATGAATCCAAATTGGGCAGGGTCAATGGCCGGTAGTACTACAGGTTTCAGAGCCTTTTCGATGATGAAGTCCTCTGCTATTTTAGAGAGTGTGGACGTCAGAGATATAGGTCTAAGGTCCTTGTTGATGTCTACGACAGTTGCTGTTTTTGGAAGCGGAACAACATTAGCAATTTTCCAGACTTTGGGAACCATACTCTCGGAAAATGATGCATTAAGGATAGAGGCAATAGGAGCAGATAGAATCTCAGCATATTCTCTTAGGACCCAATTAGGGAGTTCATCTGGGCCTCCAGCACAAGTGGGACTAATTTGACGAAGTTTGCGTAACACAGAAAGTTCACAAACATCAATTGGCATGTCATCCGCCATGTTAACATGTACGTGTTCGGTTAATGGAGAGTAATCGGACATCACGCTGGTGAAGGCTTGATTGATATTGTTTGCAAGAGTCGCCTCGTCGCTAACAAGGTCAGAGTGGAGGATGGACAAAAGATCACGGACAGATGATTTGGAGTTTCCACAGAGTTGTTTTACTTCTCTCCACCAGTCACGTGGTTTAGAGTTTTGCAGGTCTTTAACTTTATTTTCGTAATACAGCTTACGGCAGCGTTTGCGCTCACGGTTGACTTTGTTACGCAGGATTTTAAACAAGGGAGTGTTCCCAGAAGCAAASGCCTGTTGACGGCGTTTGACGAGCTGTTTGAACTGTGTAGAAATCCAAGGCCGATCAGACTCATGAATTTTAATAGATCGCACTGGCATGATGGTATCTAAACCAAAGTTGATAATGTCAGTCAAAATTGTAAGTTTACTTTCGCATGAAGGGTGAGCTTCCAGTAAACTAGACCAAGGAATTTCAAGCAGAAAACGGCCAACACTGTTAACTTTGCTAGGGCGCTTATCTCTTGACATAATGATCTTGTGTGTAGCTCTTGTTTTTTACGAGGGCCGCTACCCATAAAAACAGTTAAATGGTCGGATAACCCGAAAGGTGGTAAACTAAGGGGGGCTGAAAAATAATCATGAAGATTGGTAAATATCTGGTCAAGTGTCCTATCACCTCTAGTTGGAAAATCGATGAGTGGTTTAAGGTTAAAAGCTTTAACCGCTGACGGAATGACGGGGAGAAGTGATCGATTGAAGTCCCCCGCCAAGATAACAGCACAGCTGGGATAAATTGCTTCGAGTAGAGTTTGTGAGGATATAAGGTAGTCTCTCATGGCTATGACATCGGCATCAGGATAATGGTAGACCACGCCCACGATGAGGTTAGAGAACCCACGCGGTAGACGCCTGGGCCTAAGATCCGCCCACAAAACTTCMTGGTTAGAGTTGTAAAGGTCCGAAAGAATAGTACATTTTGTAGATGACTTCACATACATGCATACGCCTCCATGTTGCCATCCCACACGGTCACGCCTAAACAGCTGGTAACCACTGATGTTAATTGGATCGTCGGGGACAGAAGCACTTAGCCAGGTCTCGGTGAAAAAAGCAATCTCAGCATCTGTAGTGTAGATGGTTTGGGAGATTTCGTCGATCTTAGGAGCGA